GTCTGAACCTTACATTTGAGAATTTGTTTGTTGGCATACATATCAAGTTTACGAGAGTGTTTTGGTAGGGTTAGATTTCAAGAAATAATTTTTCGAAATTCACGACCTGAATAGAAAATAAAATGTTGGGTGATAAGTACAAATTTTTTTCAGAACAATAGGAAGCACAAAACTAATACTTATTGCACTGGAAATACAACAATAATTAATAATCATTTCTACTCAGCACCTATTGAATTGAAGGAGATTGCAAAGTTAATAAGTGACACCTGCAAATTCTCATTAGGCAATCGTGCTAGTGAGGTCCTGATCAATATTGGGAATGAAGCAATATTGGGAATGAATCTTAAAATTGTGAATATGCTGTGTTGTCAGCTCGATACACACATTTCCAGGAATTTCTGCGAAATTTGACACCCTCTTCAGAAGGAATCATTTAATAAGTAAAGTAGAATTTTTCTGTGACGAAACAGTGACAACATTGGAGTACATGGCATGATTAGCAGTGTAAGTGGGAGAAATGGAATAAATTATATTTTTTCCTATAATCCTTAGACTAGAGTCTAGAGTAGAGATGGGAAATACCGTTACTTCGTTGGAGCGCTCCAGTCGCGATCGCGACTGGAAAATACCGCGATTAAATACTGAATACTCCATAGCGAAACTTTATGAGAAAGAACGACCATACTAAGCATTATATGGAACGTCATGCGTATCGCCGTTGCGTTGTAGGTTGTAGAAGCTTTGAAATTGAATCTCAGGGCCTGTTCGGATTCTCTACCATCTGGACAGTTTACAACAGTCATAAAACAGAATAGCATATAACTTTGTATACTGTTTCAAGAATTTGAAATTCTTGTTTGAATGTTATATCACAAGTGTCTATTTTTATTCAAAATGACAACATAGCAGCCATTTTTTTCAAATTCAATACAGTGGTTTCATGGTTGAAATATTGTAAAAACATTATGTGGCCATATTGAATTTGGAGGAAATGACTCCTTCGCCGTCATTTTGAATAAAAATAGTCACTTGCATTATAACCTCGAAAAGATAATTTCATATCTCATCAACCCATCTGATGAAATGTACAGGGCTCTATTCAAAATTTCAACTTGGGTTAATTTTTGGTTGAGCCTATAGAAATATCGGCTTCAATGAACTATACTCCGATTCAAATTTCAAATTTCTTTCCCACAAATAACTCCGCAAATGTATGTATTTGTTTATTTATTTCACGCGCTCATTTAGTTATTTCATCAGATAAACTCATCCTTGAATCTTGACTGATATTTTTGTGATGTTATAGTATAGATAGGATTATTATTTAATTTCGTGTAGGTACTTACCTTATTGTGAGCTCATTTTTATTTTAGAACATTTGCTTTTTGGTTTTTATTTCATATAGAATTTTTATTTTGTTTGATTTCATTTATTCATTTTATTTTTGTGTTTATATTTGATTTTTTGTTAATTTTATGAAGTAAATTTTTAATTTTATTTCATGTATCTCATTTACCTGATGACAAATCATTCAAATAAAATGCGAAAAATGTTTCATATCGAACTCAACGAAACAATAATTGACTGTTTTGAATATCGACCAATACCGCCTNTCTGCGTTTGAAGGACCAGTTAATAAATATAGTAGCAAACAATTTTTTAATATTCTTTTATTGAAATACATGCCCTTTTGTCCACTTTGGACGGCTATTATATTGAGACAAAGGAGATCTGAGCAACATGTGAGCAATTCGTACATTGAAAATTATTTTGGTCACTTGAAAATAAATATTTTGGAAAGTAATAGAAATCTCAAATGTTCCAGATATTTACGGAAAAGTAGGGAAAATGTTCTTGCATTGTATAAAGAATTCATTTGCAATATTCCGAAAGAGCGGTTAACCAAACAACGTACGAAAAATGTTGATCCTTTCAAATGAACATTTATCGCAAGAAATGTGGAATAGAAAAATTAAGAGTGCACCGAATACTCATTTTTCTGGAAATTATTTGAAAAAAATTTGTTCAGTGGAAAAAGCAGTACATAAAAACTCAAATAATATTTTTGAAGAAACCTAAAATCTTCTAAAGAATAAATCGTTGTATACTTCGTTAGCTGATGAAACATCATTAGAAAAATGTTTATATTGCGGTCACGGGCGTCTTAATACTACAACCGAATGGGTAGCTTGTGATATTTGTATTCGTTGGATACACATGACGTGTGATCCTTCTTTCGGTGAAAAAACCTATAGCGGTACCTTTATTTGTGATTATTGTTCAGCCCATAAGCAGTCGAATAGTGAAATAAATTTGAATAAGTGTTTGTATTGCGGTTTAGGGGACAATTGCAATCGATGGATCCACCAAATGTGCGATAATCAAAATCAATCTTATAGCGGAAATTTTTATTGTGAAAACTGTTCTAGAAGTTTGAAAGTGAAATGTGAACGCGCGTTACAAAAACTGAAAACTAGGGATCAGCGCGATTCTTCTGCATGGTTCGAGGAAAGAAGAAAAAAATTAACTGCGTCAAATTTTGGGGCTATTTGCAAGGCGCGGAATCATAAGTCGAAACTTAACACATTCAATTAAGTCTACTCAATCATTTTCTAATGAAGCAATTAAACACGGCATTAGCATTAATTGCGAAAATATTGCACTCCAACAATTTCTTTGCCAAACGAATTTTTCTTATAAAAAGTGCGGTCTTGTAATCCATAAAATATATTCATTTTTAGGGGGGTCTCCTTCAGAAAAGGATAAAAATTTAAATTTCCTTTAAATATATATAACGGTATTTCCTTCCATTTTGAACAAAATAATAAAACACAGATCAAATGTATATGGAATATAATAAAAAATATTATATGATTCTATAACAAAATGATGACGAATAAATTCAACTGAATAGACACTGAGGTGCCTATTAGGGTAGCTGATGTAATGGTTCTGTGTAGGTTATCGTGAATGGTATGTTCAATACATTGGGCTACTAAATTTACCCTTGTACTCCTGGGAAACAGCTAAATATGGGTTCGAATACCAGTAGATTAGTTGGGGGTTGCCATAGAGCTATTATGTTCACCCTCGTACTTCTGAGAGATGACTGAATATAGATTCGAACACCAGTAGATTGGTTGGGGATCACAGTAGGGCTACCATGACCACCTTCGTATTCCTTGGAGATGGAGTGTCGACTCGAAGACCAGTCGATGGGTTGGGGATCATAGTAGGGCTACTATGTTCACCCTTGTATTACTTGGAGAAAGAGTGTAGACGCGAAGACCAGTCGATTGGTTAGGGATCACAGTAGGGCCTCTATATTCACCCTCGCATTTCTTGGAGATGCAGTGTGGACTCGAAAACCAGTAAATTGGCTGATGATCACATTAGGGCCTCTACAGGGTGTTCCTTAAACACATGCTAATATTTAAGGAGGTAATTCTTAGACCCATTTTGAGGAAAAAACGTCCGATGGACGTATGTCCTAAACGCCTTAACTTTTGAGATACAGGGTGGCAGGGTTTTCAAAAATAATCAGTTTTTTAATAATAACTGAGATAATTTTGTAGACATCTTTGGCATATTTGGTACATATGTTCCATGCCTCAAGGCGCATTTTCTGATGTACA